AATTTTTCTCTAGGTATATATGGTATCTTTTGTGCAAAATATATGACATTTATATTCAAAATATTCCTGGTCTTACAAGGAATCCAGCAATGTCAATTATATTATCCTAACTTTAGTTTGAGGTATTATTTATTAAAATTTAGTGGTTATCCCACACATCTCCTTGGGACGGTTGGTGGGGGGTGGGGGGGAGGGAGGGAGGGACCAACCGACCATCTGTTACCGTGTGAAGAATTATTATTATTTTTTATTAACTGAAGATATTTGTTTTAGCTCATAAAATTCATACAAATTACCCGGTCAGAATATAATTTACATTGCTGGAATTCTTATAATTTGGTGATCATTTTGAATATAAACATCATATATTTTGCTTTAAACTTACAATTTTTAGATAAAAATTTTTCACTAGGTAACTATGGTATCTTTTGTCCAAAATATATGACATTTATATTCAAAATATTCCTGGTCTTACAAGGAATCCAGCAATGTCAATTATATTATCCTAACTTTAATCTGAGGTATTATTTAATACTAAATGTTATAAACTCTGGGAGGGAGGATTGGTGGGGGGTGGGGGGAGGGTTGGGACTGACCGCGCGGTTGGAAGAGGGGGGGAGGCAAGGTGGGGTACTTTGATTGGCAGATAGTGTTGTGAAGATTATTATTTTTTTTATTAACTGAAGATATTTGTTTTAGCTCATAAAATTCATACAAATTACCCGGTCAGAATATAATTTACATTACTGGAATTCTTATAATTTGGTGATCATTTTGAATATAAACATCATATATTTTGCTTTAAACTTACAATTTTTAGATAAAATTTTTTCTCTAGGTAACTATGTTATCTTTTGTCCAAAATATATGACATTTATATTCAAAATATTCCTGGTCTTACAAGGAATCCAACAATGTCAATTATATTTTCCTAACTTTAGTTTGAGGTTATCCCACACATCTCCTTGGGACGGTTGGTGGGGGGTGGGGGGGGGAGGGAGGGACCGACCGACCATCTGTTAGCTGGCTGTGTACTGTAGTGTGAGAGGGGGAGGGAGTTGAGTCCATTATTTGAATGGACATTAACTTGGCGACTGTATTTCTCTATTTCTCTTAAGTATTAATTGTGTGCATGTACCATCATAAAATTAAGATGTTATTTTTACTACAACATAGGTATGTGCCTTCAAAAAGTGGAGTTTGGGGGTCGGGCTGGTTTCTATTGGAATTAATCCCATATGTTCTGTTGTTCACTTAACGCGGATTTCACTTAACGCGGGACCCTCTGGGTTCAATTGACCGCGTTAAGTGGGGTACAACTGTGTATATATATATATATATATATATATATATATATATATATATATATATATATATATATATATATATATATATATATATATATATATATATATATATATATATATATATATATATATATATATATAAAGCATATGTTACAAATAAAAACATAAAATAAAACATAAAACATAATAATAATATTAAATATTGGCAGAGATCCTCCAGCTACTCAGCATCCTTTCCTTATTTTCCGCCGCAGAAGATCTATGACAAGACAGTTTAAGAACATAAAAATGGAGGAAAGTGCAGTGGGCCTATTGGCCCATACTGGGCAGTCCCGTTTACACCCAACCCCTATCGCTCATATATCCATCCAACCTATATTTGAAGCTATCCAGAATCACTTAATGGTGTTGCTGCCTTTAGTACTGTCTTTTTTAACTTCACTTTAAGGTCGAAATGTTACTACAGCTAAGCAAGTAAGACCCATAGATTTAGATATTTCACTTAGCTTTTCACCAAATTAAACAAATGTAACACCTCAAGTTCAATATCCAATGAGACACAGTAGTTTTGTAGCATTTTTCTCACAGCTACTCTTATTGGTAACTACTGGCCTCTTACTAGATGTGGTGATTAGAGGGAAAACAGTTTATAAGTTTGTAAATAAGTCACAGAAGGCACAATATATGGACACCACTTTGACAATTCAAATCAAAACAACTGTGGCGATGAGCATTCCTGCCACTATGCAGAGCCACCAGATTCCTAAAACAAATTTCCTAGTTTTTTCTATTTGTTTGCAATTGCCAACAATTTATGAATTATAGATCTGAAATAATTTTTTTTTGTACATTTTGTTTAGGTTGAAGTGAAACCTGGGAATATTTTTTCCCACAATAGTACATACAGGGTGTATAGTGAATTTTCACAAAAATAGCCTCCATTAAACGAGGGATGGTGTACTGTACTATAAACTTCCCCATGTTCTCTATCTGTAGCAATAACTAATAAACCTGTAAATATTAAACTAAACTAGGGCCTTCGGGTGGTAATAAGGCCAACTATGTACTGTACTGTATAAAAACTACACCATCTGCCTGGCTCAGGTTAAACTTAACTCTTATGTACTGTGGAAATAAGAACTCAATCATAAAACACCATCTATATAAGAGTAAGAAAAATACCTAAACAGTATAAATGATTACAACATGAGATAGGTGCTAAATGGTCATATCAGATTTCTTTAGAATTTCTGACATAGCAAGGTTTGTGTCAGGATTCTTGCACTGTTCATTAAGGGTATGGCTCAAAAGTCTGTGGAGGTCTTTTATAACATTGTGATTATGACTTTACAATGCCATTCAATGTTCCTACAAATGGCAAGAACAATTAACTTTTGGAAGGTTTGCCCAGCTTGGTAGCATGGTCCAGAGGACTGGCTGGTTTGATACAGAGGCCCATTTATACCTGACTTCCAGCAGAACAGTTTCAATTACTGGTATATTTAGTAATAATGGTACCTGAAAAGAAAAACTACAGTCCACATCTTCAATATGCTTTCATTCTCTTCTTTCTGCTCTAAGGATATGAGATGTCTTTGAATGCTATTGGGAGTACAGGGTAATGACTAAACTCAAAGCATCAAGATATAGTATTAGCAAGACCATGGAGCATGTTACTTGCCTAATCCATCATGATCAAAAGCAAAAATAAGGGCACAAAACTCAATTTGCCTTTGTTCACCGAACTCTCATGTGTGCTTCTAGACTCTAGAGAAAGTGCCCTTAGAGGATAGAAATATATTAAGGGTGACATGTGAGGTACTGTACTGGATAAATAATATACAACTCCTATCAACTTTACAGATTAACAATTCAGCATTGCATTACCTAAATGCCTATTCCAAACACCTCTAAACCTAAATTCATAAAACTCTAACCTTCAAAGGTACAAAACAGATCAAACTCACGAATCAGATGGATCAGAATCAGTGTCTGTATCAGTGCAATTCTTCTTATAGGACTTATACCTATCTATTAAGTCCATGAGGTATGCATTCTTTTTGGCCTTGCGGATGAATGGGAACTTGAGCAATTCTTTGGCAGTTGGTCTCTGGAAAATAAACAAATACTTATCAATTTTACACAAACAAAATCTGAATAATACTTTAGTCTTTAACTAAAGGTATTGAGACAACCAGGAGATACAAAGTTTGGCAAAGTCCTAGAAGTGGTCATTCAGCAACTCCTGGAGGAGATATACTGTACTGTATAAACAAAGATGTTGATAAAAAATATAAAATAATCTCTGTTCATGGTACAACAATGATAAAAGACTTCCAGTACTTTACCATATATGGATGACTAAGGAGGCTGTCTCGTTTATTTAAATAACAAAGCCTTAAGTGCTGTGCACATATCTTTGAATAGAGAGAGATTCTATTTACATATGTGAAATGTATGTATGCTTGTGTTTTACATACCTGCAGAAAGTTCTTAATGAGCTTTGTGTATTATTTAAGAAAATGTGATTTATGTAATACAGGGAGCCCCCCAAGTTTGTGGATTTTTATTTCGCGGTCCTCTATTATTTGCGGATGACACCCTTGATGTACCCAAGAATGTCTGTGGGTAGTTTTAAAGTTGCCGGCATTTTTGCGGCTGGGACAGGGAGCCATTCATTCTAGAGACAGTAATTTCCTTTACCTGTATTGTAAATATGTATATGTGTGTAGACACACACACACATACAAATAAACATTAATAGGAAAATGCTCTCACAAATACTCAGAAAAAATTATTAAAAAGGTGACAGTCTAACCTCAAGTCTGTGCTTTATTAATAAAGCACAAACTTGAGGGTAGACTGTTACATTTTTAATAAATTAGTTTCTGATTATTTGTGAGAGAATTTTCCCATTATTGTTTATTTGTATGGGTTGTGTCTCTACACACACACACATATATATATATATATATATATATATATATATATATATATATATATATATATGCAAATGAAATCACTGTAGGTCTTGGCATTGATCTAGGTATATGCTGTTAACCACAAGGAAAGAAGAAAACCACGAGTTCCCAAAGCGCTTCATTGTAATTCACATCAGGGGGTGAGTACAGACTAGCTAGTCTGTGCTGCCTGAAATCATGCACTGAAACATATATATATATATATATATATATATATATATATATATATATATATATATATATATATATATATATATATATATATATATATATATATATATATATATATATATATATATATATATATATATATATATATATAATATATATATATATATATACAGTATTACCCGCCTAGCAGCGGTTTCACTTAGCGTTGTATCATATCTGTGATTGCCTCGCCAGGTGAACTTTCACTTAACGCAGTTTTTTTTCACATATCTGGCAGTGGGGTGTAGAGACTCGAGCGCTATTTTTAGATTTGCCCACCGCCACCCTGCCTGACTGCCTGTTTTAGCTCATAAAATTCACCTGATTACCGGTCAGAATATAATTTACATTGCCAAATTCTTATAATTTGGTGATCATTTTGAATATAAACATCATATATATTTTGCATTAAACATACAAATTTAGATAAAAATTGCCTCTAGGTAACTAAATATTTATCTTTTGTGCAAAATATATGACATTTATATTAAAGTATTCCCTAGTCTTACGAGGAATCCAGCAATGTCAGTGTATTATCTAACTTTTGGATTTGAGATATTTATTTATTAAAATTTAGTGGTTTTCCCCCAAAATTTCTCTGAGAGGGAAGAGCGGCAGTGTAGTGTGAGAGGGGGAGGAGTTCAGGTCCGTATTTGAATGGACATTTAACTTAGCGACTATATTTCTCTATTTCTCTTAAAGTATTAATTGTGTGCATGTACCATCATAAAATTAAGATGTTATTTTTACTACAACATAGGTATCGCCTTCAAAAAATTAGGTTGGGGGTCGGGTGATTTCTATTGGAATTAATCATAATCCCACATATGTTCTGTTGTTCATACTTGTGATTTCACTTACTTGCTTGGGACCTCTGAGTTTCAATTGACAGCGATTAAGTGAGTACAACTTATATATATATATATATATATATATATATATATATATATATATATATATATATATATATATATATATATATATATATATATATATATATATATATATATATATATATATACACACACACAATACAGGTAACAGAAATAGTGTCCCTTAGGGCTAACACAGGAAAAATACATTTTCTTTCTACACAAATGAAAAATGTAAGTAAACCCCACAAAAAAAAATGTTATTCATGGACTTGGCGATTCGAAGCCATTTTGAGAACCTAACCCCCGCAAATTTAGGGGGCCCCCCTGTACATGCATTTTATAAGTAACAGCATTATAAGTGTGGGTATTTTTGTTGCAAATTAATGTTTTGTATCTGCTTTAAGGGTATTTAAGTGAGCATGTATTCTGAGAAAAATGTCAATTGTGCAAGCTTTCTATATGTTTATGTTTTCTCTCTTATTTACGGTATGTTCTGTATCTATTTTGATGACAGAAAACAGTACCAAAGGATGTCAAGACTCTTTTGAGCAAGATGAAACAAAAAACTTGGCGCTACAAATTAGTGCCGAGATGTATATACTGTACAGTAAGGTCACATTATCAATCTATTGTAATTACTCTCTGAAGAAGACCCTGTGTGGTCGAAACGTTAGAGCAATAAACAGCTCCTGCTGTCTCCTTGGTTCCCCCCTCCCCCCCACACAAACACACACAGACAAATTTGTGTTTTCCCACTCCTCCAATCCTTTATATATTATATTTCAGGGTGGTTGGATTAAAGAGCAAATACACTTACCATTCATTCATTCTTACTACTATATTAGAACTGTTCTGCTATGGTATTCCTCCTCTATAATAATGCCCCCAAAATCCCTTTGGTTTGCCGCTGCTGCTTCATACAACTTAGCAGCACCCACTCCAGAAAAGCATAGAATATTTGAGAAAAATTTCACAATTCATATCAAAGAAAAGTAAAGAATAAAGTACTTACATTTTCTGGGTCTTTATTTAAACATGCCTCTACAAATTCTTTAAAAGGTTTGCTATAGTTCCCAGTAAGTTGTGGAGGGTTATTCTTGGGTATGAGAAAGAGAACTCTCATTGGGTGTAGATCACTGTTAGGTGGCTCTCCCTTGGCCAATTCAATGGCTGTGATCCCCAATGACCAAATGTCTGCCTGTGGGTGCAGAAGTAAATCATGATTAAATATCATAAGAAAAAAATGACACATGACTTTCTCAAAACTTTGAAGCAGTGAAAAAAAAAGAGGTTTTATTTTCTTATTTAAAAAAGATGTAATGTATTAAAGAAAAAACATGATTTGGTTTAATGAATATGTTACATGGGGGAAAATTTGCAAAATATTTGAATCAATTGTAATTAACGTACAGCAATGGGTAACACAATTAAAGGTTGTGATTATACTCCAAGCACCAAACTATAGTTCAAAATTGGGACAGTGGTTCAGAATATCATGATACAAAGTTTCAGTTCTATGAAATATGAGAGAAACATTTTGTACCTTAGAGTCATACGCAGATTGTTTGATGACCTCAGGAGCCATCCAGAATGGAGTGCCGACGAATGTATTTCTTTTGCTGGTTGTATTTGTCAACTGACCTGCCACACCAAAATCTGCTAGTTTTACATCTCCCATCTCACTCAGCAATACATTGGCAGCTGAAAATTAAGTATTGCATATACATTTTAACATGACATTACAATTCTCACTAAAATTAACTGTTAATGCCACAATTTCAAATTTAAATAATGCATATCATTTCCTGCATTCATAAGAGTAATTCTTGCAGACTCTATTAAGGATACTACTTGTCAGTTTTTAGCTAAATCAGCCAGAGACTCAGTTCTATGAATATCAAATACTGTACTGAATAAACGAATAACTTCTTTTTTAGCCAGACTGCATTGACATACATTATGACCTACCCCTCCATTCTCCATATACATTCCAATAACCAGTCTTCTCATAGGAAACATAACCGTGAGCATTTCCCCCAGAAAACCTTTAATTTGTAAATTTGCATTTCATACAATCCAATGATCCCTAATGTTTCAGAAATTTACTATGCTACAGAGTGCCTAAAACTCCTTAAGCCTAACAGAGATGGGCAGTATCTTAAGATACAAGATACAATTTGTATCTTAAGTTATAAGATACCGTATCAAAGATAAAAAACTTTCCGAACTGGGTATTTGTCAAGTACAGTACAGTATCTTAATATTATGATACATTTGAATTCAGGTCTGACATGTGGGTAAAATCTGCCTCGCCAGTGTTAAGGCCTGGGCAGCCCAGTTAACCCTTATCAGTGAACAGTGACGCCAAGGTTGCAACTTTCCCGCGGAATTGGGCTAGTTTGAGTATGGAGTCGCAGGTAATTTTAAGCAGTCGACTTCAGAAATTTCGGTGTTGAGATGCCTGCTGAAGAAAAGAACTTGAGTCGAGCACAAAACAGCCACAACAGCAGTGATGAAGAATTCACTTTCTACTCACCTCACAGTTCAGCCACGACAGAGAATGATGGATTGAACAGAAAATATAAAGCTACCTAACCATCTCCTTTGTGCTATCCATACACTAAGCTTGGTATGCACTACAGATGCAGCCAGGATCAACCACTAAACAATGGTAAAGTGTTCTAAGCTGTGGGTATGTGCTGGGAGGCCTAAATCTGCCGAGTTTATTCACGAAGAGCTCAACCATCGGTTACGCTACCTTATCCAAGGTGTAATTCTTTGTTCGATAGAGTGAAAACCATCTATAATTCAGTGGAAGACCAAGATCATTAAGTCAAGCTGGGGCTCAAGTCATCACCCCTCCAAGAGCCTGAGTTGGACTCCTTTGAGGAATACTGCCTTGCTCTAGCACTAGTTGCTTCAGCGCTAAACAGGTTCCAAGGAGAAGCTCATCCCAACTCTTCTGTTGACAGAAACCAAATTGGACAACATCAACAACAATATAAGCATGAGACACTGCAGTGCCACTGTTGCAAGCAGTTATTACAGAGTTCAGAAAAAGATTGAGCCAACTTCTCTCTTTACCCTGAAGTAAATGATGCTGTAATGGCATCATTGTTTCATCCTTATTTCAAACTATGGTGGCTCAGTTTGATGAAGGATTCTAAAAGAGACAATGATGACTAAACCCCACAAATGCAGATTAAATTTTTCAATACTGCAAGGACCATCTCCAGGGATCATGAGCAAAATCTATGAGAAACTTCAGTGGCTTCTTCTGACACAAATGAAGATGATGATGACTTCTTCAGCTTCAGGAAGTCATCTTCCGAGAATACTACTAGTGAAGCATATATGAAAGCTCTGCATTTTCTTTGAGATAAAAGCAGGACTTTTTTCTCCAACTTGAACAATTATCCAGCTGCGAAGAAGGTCTTCATGAAGTATTATACAGCACTTCCTTCTGCACCAGTTGAGGATTTGTTCTCTTTTGCTGGAATGATACAAACTGTACACCGAAGAGAAGCAGGCTGTCAGATTCACTCTTCGAAAGTTAGTTACAGTACAGTTTTTGAAAGGAAACGAAGCTTGGTCCTAATGTAATACAATAAGTGTCAAGATGTTGACAATATTATTAGTTATAGACTAGTACAGGTTGTGCAGCCTTGCAGATAATAAATTATGTGAAAAATATGTTTTTTCATTAAACATTCTGAAATAAAGTATGGGAATAATATGACTCAGGTGAAGCAAAATACTGTTCTCAAAACGTCTTGTATCTTAAAAATGTATCTTTAAATTGCATCTTATATCTTCAATATATATTTTTTGTTTATCTTGTATCTGTATATCTTCAGATACACTTTATAAAGTACCTTGCATCTGGATAAACTTTTAAGTATTTTTGTCCATCTCTGAAGCCTATGGTGTTCAAGGGCATTATTTTACCATCAATCTGTCCAAAATAATAAATAATTCATGTGTGAACATAATATTTTTGCATCTTATTACATATTGTACCAATAAAGTATATATTGAACAGTACACTATATTATAACATGTACTTGTACAATAAGATAAAAACTACCTGACCACCGACATCTACATACAGTACTCAAAATTGAATTAGAACTTAATCTTCAAAATTAATAGGCTTTAAATACTGTAGTGTAGTGTCATTGAGCCATGCTGGAAAAAAGCTCCTGACACATTTGTCACCTTTACTTGGTCAAGTTGCCTTACTGTTTACCATTGTTGTTTACCTGCATTGTCTTGGAATACAGGAAACGGTATACAGTATTCCCATGGCCTACATGCATCGTATACAGTACCTACTTTGTCTATGTTCATGCTGAACTGTATAACTGCATAGTTTATAAACATGCTTATCCAATTGTAAACATGTACAACAATTTTACTAAATAAATAATAATGATAATATTATTAGTGAGAATATGCATTAACCCGTCTTCTTTTTATAACAAAATATACTTGCCATTCACTATAATTTGACAAAGAAATTAGGTGACAGTAATCAGCAACTTGTTACAGCTACAGTGCATGGTTCCTATCCTGTCCCACAGAAGCCAAAACCATAGTAAAGTACAGTATCTGTACAAGCCAAATGTTAAATATAAACCTTTTATATCACGGTGAAGTTTTCTTTCGGAGTGTAAATAGTCTAACCCTTTGATAACTTCACGTAGTATAACAGCAATGTGCATTTCTTCAAAACTCCCCGCCTTCATCAAGTCAAGTGCTGACCCACCACCAAGGTATTCCATGATGATCCATAATTTTGTACCTGAAAATAGTTGTACGGTTAATTAGATGAAAATTATTTTCTAATTAGTAACTAGCATAAAAAGATACAGTATAATCTTTCTTTAAACTATATTTTTCCTAAATGTCTCAATAATTATATGGTGAAAAGCTAGAATTGTACTGTACTTAATTTTCCTTTAAATTGACTCTTCCCAATGCCATAAGGTGTATTACTATAAAAAGGGAAGTGTTAGAATGCTATACTGTAGCAGACACAGTACAGTAATTCTTAAATTACTGAAAAATAGTGAAGCAAGGAATACAACCTTAGTATTAAGCAAGAACACCCTGTATACCAGCAGTGTGTCCCTTTAGACTTTCACTTTAGTTCTACATCATCTAATCAGCCATGCAAAGATAAACCTACTTACTTATCTGGAGACAGTTACATAACTACCCTGTATTAATGCTAAGAGTAAATATAATAAGATGAAATTCTGAAAAAAGCCCAACCATGCAGAGTACAGTACTGTAGGTATTTATTATGTACAAGAAAAAATATTATGGCTTGTTACTAGAATAACCCACACTAGTTATTGTTAACACAACTTGCCATTTACAAATATTTGGTTACCGTATTCTTTTTACTGTAATGGACTCTAAAAAGACATTAAACTAGAGATACACTAAACCTTATCAAAACACATACATAAACTCCCTACCTTATATAAATCCATAAAATTTATATCACAAAAATCCATTGTAGAACATACAACAGTTATGCAACTGTGATTGGAAAAAGAAAACTTTGTAAGAAATGCTAACAAACTAACAACAAGATATGGATTACTACTGATGGGTGGGTTTAAATAAACAGAAATACTCCCCCAAATTAGACTGACCTTTAAGGTAGGAGCCATAATACTTAGTAACATAAGGAGAGTCACACTGGGATAAAACCATAATCTCCTGCTGAATGTCTTCGATCTCATCCTCAGCCTCTTCTAGATCAATAATCTTGATAGCAACCACCTGCGTAGTACGCTTGTCTACGCCCTTAAACACTTCACCGAAGGATCCCTTGCCAATTCTCTCTTGTTTGGTGAAAATCAGCTCTGGGTCCACCTTCTGTAATAAAAAAATACAGCTAATCTTGATTTTATGTTGACAGGTACAAGTACTGTACTATACTGTATTTTAATGAAAAAAGGGAGGGAGGCAGGAGAGGTAGTAAAGAGGGACAGAAAAGATAAATACCAGTATGTACAGTTGTCTCAAAGAGTTCCTTTACCCACTGTGATGACCGAGAGGCTTCGTATGTTTTGCCAGTGGCCATGTCAAGTAGCCCACAATCCTTAAACAAGTCACTATCCATTGTCATTACCTCAATACCCTGCTCTATCTACAAGGGTACTGCATCTGACTGGGCTTTTGGTTAATTACACGCACCATAGATTCTCAGCAATTTGGAAACATGAAAACCTTTCCTCCACCACCCACTGTTTAGTCAGCTTTCTTAATTCTATCTACCGCAACATCTTACTCCACATAACAAGAGGCACTCAGTATACTGTTCCTCTTAACTCTCTCTCATCATTACCATGACCTCATCAGTCAGCTCGAGATGAAACTGCAGTACTACATTATCCTCGCTACTGTCTATTGCTATAATTAAGATCTGATGCTCAACATCACAACCAAATGTAGCCCATACGACCATGTACTGATCACTAAAAGAACTACCCCATTCCAGTTATTGTAAAATTCATCAACAATTCGTACCAAATTTTTGTGTTCACTCCTTGCCAATCTCACCTTTGTACTGTAACTGCGCTAAAAGTCCTTGTTAAATAACTCCCCTTCCTCTCAGCTCATTTATACTGTACATTGTCTCAAATAATATGGTGTGTTGGGGAATTAATTTTAATGTAAAAGTACCAGTACTGTATAATATAACTACAACACACTTATTAAGGATCTGGATTCAAAAGGTTGAGTTAGAACCACAAAAGAACAGATAAAACTTCCACAAAACGAAACCATGAAGGGATTACACAGCTCTGTTAAGCAGTAAAACCACACCACCCAACAGCTGCCAGAAAATCAACACGTTAAGAACTACGACTAAACACGAGTCAAGTGTCGAGGCCATGCACCAACATCCTTTTTTACCATCACTTCCCGTTTCTCCCTCTAATACCTCTCACCCCTGACCTACACAACACAAAAACCACTTTAGATACAACTTACCTGTATAAAACTCCAGCCAGGTATTTAAGGTATATTTTTATAGCTCTCACATGCATAGAGGAATACTTTATAAACATTTAAAGTGGGAAATCTAATGTTCTTGTTCAAATTGAGGAGAGTTGAAATCCATAATGAAATAAATTTATTTCAATCATACATAACTGGTGGTTGCAACCATCTACTGTACTGTAATGTATAACCAAATAAAAAATGTTAAAGTTAAGTCTATTACTTTATAAAACAACAATATTTCCTTAGGTTTAAGTGTAAATTGAAAGTTATTTCCTTTAGTTTCTCTTATATAATAATACAGGATAATTGGACTGGAGAATCCAAGGTTGTGGGAAGATCAAGCATCCACTAGTGACATGACAAGACTGTACACACGTTAAATTATGATCCAACACTTTGTGGAAGGCAATTACAATGACCAAAAACATAATTTCGTTGGGAATTTGTAAATAGGCAATGAAGAATAAAAATAAGTTAGACACTGAAGAGGAGTAGTAATAATAGGCATAAGGTTGACAAAGATGGGAGAAAAATGCATGCCGAAAGTGAAAATACGAATATTGTGAAAAGTGTTAGGAAATGAGCGGAGTAAAGTGCATAAGTATCGTTATGAAGAAAGGCGCTTCATTAAACAGACTTGTAGAGAGGAAGGAAGAAGAGGGTTGGATGAAAGGAAGTAAGGTGAGGAGATGGGTGTCACCTTACACACATCCTTCACCTAGGACGAACAGGGTGGTGGTCCCTCAGATGACCCCTCGGGAAGGACCTTGAGAGGCTTCCTCCCTCTATCCTATCTGCATCAGGTGCAGGACCTCCCCAACCAGCCCCAATCAGTCTACTAACGGCATGGCCATTGTCTCCCGCTTTGCTACCGATGATACCTGTTCTAGATTTTGCTGGTATGGTCTCACCTCCCAATAAACTATGCTAATAAATCTACAGAAATAAATCAACACTAAAATACAGTACAGTAGTTCTATTAAAAAAAAAAAAAAAAAACTAAAGGTATATACAAGATTCTCTTAACCTTAATGTTATTACATGATAATACACTACAGGGTATATAAATCAATACACTATCTACTTTACTTTTCCCATTCCTTTAACTCTGTATTTAAACCCACATGATCAAACCTTTCCTGTTCATACGGAGTCACTTCCCCTCCCTGGATACTGTAACACAATATGTCCCTTCTATCTGCCTCAGCATCACCACCACCTTTTAACCTCAACCCCTTCCCACTTCCCTCACCTACTGCAGTGACTCCCTTTAACCTCCCTGTCACTACCACCTTCTCCAGCAGAAATCCCCCCCCCCCCTTAACCCTCAACCATCTCCAGGGTAGCAGATGGGAGGTAGTGAACGGCTGTGAGGTTAAGGGGAGGTTCCTGTTTGAAGCGATGATAGTGGAAGAGTGATGATTGGTGAACGGCTGAGGTTAACTTCAGCCCCTCCCAGCAGAGCCAGAAACCACCCCTTAACCTCAGCCCCACCCCTACCTTACAATCACAAGTGTGAATCCCTGCTTGTCTCTTACCTACCTTACAATACATTACCACCTACAACAGAGCAACCCCTCCTCTCTGTGAACCCAACCTCTCCCCTACCACACAAATCATTACCCTACCTTTACCAGCAAGATCCTCCCTTCACTGCACACTATCCCTTAACTAACTACTCATCACCTTACCTTTACCAGCAGGCCCCCAGGTCATTAATAAGCATCACGACAATGAGTTATCAAACATCATGATTACCCTAAACACCTCATGCCACCACACATAGCCCTCCCTCTCTATACACCCATCTATACCATAACCTTTCACATCACCACGATAACAAAAATGCAATAAATTCCAGAAATTCTCGATCCAAATCCACAGAGATCTCCATTAAATTTTTCCCCTGTTGAGAGGGAGGGAATGAATCAATTACAATAAAGTAATAAATTTCGATGCTATTTTTGGCCAGTACTGTAACTCATTATCACAGGATAAGTGGGCTTGTTAGATATATTTGTACTCTCCCATTTGATGAAAACAAAACGACTAGTCTAAAAAATCGCTGCCAAAAATTATAACATTAAAACTACAGTAGTCATATATTGCAATGTGGGGATCTCAAAAACAGTGACTAGCAAGATTAAGTGCTGAAAGTAGCAAAAATTTATCACCTAATTCAACAAGCCCTCATAACTTGATTAATATTGATAAATTGCATATAAATTCACATATAACTGTTAAAAATATCCAGTTCCGGCTCTTTTAATGCCGAATATAATGTATGTACGGATATACTTGAACAGTAATTGCTTGAAAATATTAACTTTCTATCTATGAGTGGAAAAAAGTTGATATTAAGAATATTTACCGACGGTCACAAACAAATTCACACCTTTGGAGAGACGGGGGAGGGGTGTTCTTAGCCTAATCCCTCCACAAAAAAAAAAGATCTAGTGCCTGACCTTCGCGCTTTATGAAGGCCTCAGCTATACTGTATGTACCTACCCACCCCTTCACTCGTTAACATAACAAACGTCAATTCTGTCTTCGCATAAAGGTAAAACATACCCAGCGTCTTGTGTAAAATAATTCATTCTTTTACAGTGATCAATTTTGTGGTTACTAATTGTGGGAGTTTGTGTTGTGCATCAGCAAAGTAATAAATAACTACGATGATATAACAGCAACGGTTAGCGGTTTATGCCAGCAAAAAAATTAATAAGAACTCGATGGTACCCTTATATTACCATAGATGTTATTACCAGTGCACCCGAACGCTTGCTGGAGTGTTTGTGACGACGATTCTTGGGGTTCATAAACGACTAAACTTCTCTAGTGACGGCGTGATCAACCAGACTAAGACTACAATAAGCTAGATTTGGTGAAGTCTGGCTTGGTTATGAACTAGAGTTGTATGATGAGGGGTGAGTGGCGGTCGCACACCCTCATTATCTTGGCCGACTGTGGCTCACGGCCAACCATAACCCACATAACGTAATATCCCGAGCACACCCCTCACATCCATCCATCCACCCACCCACACACTAACCCACATAACGCAACATCCTACCACTCTTCAATTAGATCCAAACGCACTCACATTAACTCAACGCCTCTTACTGACGCCAAACATACCCACTACACGTCCCAAGACTGGATAAATAATAATAAATTACTGCCAAAAGTATAAATTATTGCTTATACACATAATAAAATAATAAAATGTAATACAGTACTTATAAATACTCAAAGTTAGTCAGGAAATATTAGGGCTATACTAGCAATTGGTTGAGCTGTCTGTCGCTGCCCAATTCAGAGAGAACAATAGGCTTTGACTGAGCATATCGCCGTAAGTGAAATACCCCCCATTAGCACAGGAATCCAATACTTGGGAGCAGCAGTCTAAACTCTATAAGGTTAATAAGATCAACACTACGAGTTGGTTGATATAGTCACCTATCAACTACTTGAGTAAACTTTAAGGGGGGAGATTAAACAAGAGACACCCACAGAAGTGTAGCTCTGGAGAATCAAGATGCAGCCTGTCTAAGAACTCACACGTCCGGTGAAGGATATATTTTAATCAAAACAAAGACGACCAAGCGAGTTCAACTAGCTATAAAACCTGAGTTTGCCCTCAACTACAGTATCTAATGTCCTGCCGAAAACTTAATATTTCTTCTATTGATCCAGTGAAGTATGTGTCTATCTCAGAAAAAAAAAGAACAAGGAAGGGGGTTACACTTCCAGTCAAACCTACGCAAATTATAGTTTGTTTGTTTTTGTCCCCACAGTAACATTAGATTTGTGAAGCCAATATCTTTATTAGCGTGACGTAATAAAAATACATTCACCTCTTCTGG